CTTTGAAGATCCAAATTACAGCTCAAGCCAGACTGGGATAAGCTCTGCAAGAGAATGGGTGAATCCAACCTTGGGGGCAGACTGGTGGTTAAATACAACTATGAGGGGTTGGGGAAAGCTGCCTGGTACAGGGACCCTGAACTGGCCAGTGAAGGAGAAAGGATTTCAGCCAGCAGTGAGCATGGGGATCGAGCTCTGCAGGAAGAAGGAAGAGCACGCGCAAACGCAGGGGTGTGTGAAAGGATTGAGTGGTTTGGAGAACTGTGGCATGTCCCATATGACTAGGCTGAGGAAGGTTGATAGAGCATGGGGACAGGGGAGTGTGGGTTGGTAAACGGGGCAGGTCACAGGGCAGGGCTTATGCTTCCTTCCTCTGTGGGTGATAGACAGTAGCCAAAAGTTTCTGAGCAGGATTTGAGCTTGGAAATGTTGGATGGTCAGCTACCTAACTAAGCCCTACTCTCAGTGATACCCCGGGAAGCAAGGTGGTGGGTGGTATGTGGGGTGGGGGGTGGGGAATTCCTGAAGCTGGCAGGCTGCCCAGGAGAAGCTGGGGAGAGCCAGGGTGGTTAGCTCTGGGGGCCTGGGCCTGGGGCTGGGTAAACTTCTGGCTGAGTCTGTTTTCTCTTCCTGGACCTGTTTCTTCGTTTCTGCATGCTACCTCCCCCATGCAGGGCCAGGGAGAGGCTGGGAGGCAGCTCCCGGCAGCTCCCCAGTCACCATGGGGCTTTTCTATCCACTCATTGGGCCCAGCCCCCGCAGGGGCCTCTGTGGTCAGGTCTTTGTGTCTGCACAGTGGCCCTCTTTGTCCTGAGCAGCACCCTCCCTCCCTCTTCCCAACCACCCCTCTCCTGTGTTACAGAAAGCACCCATTTTGCAGAGAGACTGGCCAGGAATCTGATCTTGGCTTCCTGTACTGAATCTGTGTGTGAACCTGACCAAGTCATTTTGCCTGAACCTTAGTTTTTAGCTCATGAAAAGGAGCTGTGTAAGGAATCGAACTCCTGATGAGAATTAGTCTGCTACCTAGTGCTGAGAGGTGAACAACACATGGTGTCCACACAGACCCCTACCCAACCTCATGCTGTTCACTGAACCTCCTACTTATATCTCCCACCTCATCCTCACCACTGCCTGACCAGGTGGCCATCATCCACCCGTTAGACAGATGAAGAAACCAAGGCCCGGAGATAGGGCTGGCTTCATAGGTGTGCGACTCATGCTTCGAAGGTCCCCATACTTGATTTAACGCTCTGCTATACCATTTTGAGAGTCTTACTAGTTTTGGAACAAGGGGCATGCATTTTTCATTTTGCCATGGATCCCTCAAATTATGTAGCCTATCCTGCTGGCAGGGAGGTAGAACAGAGGCTTGCTTTGGCCTGGACCAGGCTTCCTGCCTCCTGGGCTGCCTCCCCTGGGTGCTTGCATCCTGGCACGTCAACAGCCAGAGCTTCCAGGCTGCATTTGACATCGGAGGCCTGGCCTCTGCTGGGGAAATCTGAGGAGCACAGTTCCCGGCTGGTGAGGGAGGCAGGGGATGGTCCAGGCCGATGCAGCAGTCCAGAGAACAAGCAAGACAAGCCTTCTGGAGCCAGTCCAGCCCTGCGTAACCGGAGTCACAGTGCGGGTGCCAGCACCATGGCTCAGCCATCACTCTGGGAATGCCACACAGCCTTCCTCCCTGCCTTGCAGTTTCAGGGCCAGGGGACCTACTGCAGACTCACTATATGATTTAGACATTCACTTCTGATTTCTGAACTGTAATTTCTCTTTATGTAAAGTGATAATGATCTACCTCTTGGGTGCTGGTGAAGATTAAATGATATATTTTCAGACAATGACTAACACAAGAATGTGATTGGTAGAGTTCTTATTCACTCACATAACAAATATTCCTGGAGGCTGTCCAGGTGACAGGGACAGTGCTAAGTGCTGGACATTTAACTGTGAACAATATGAACTCTAGCCCTGCCCTCAAATAGATCCCCATAAGAGGGGGAGATAGATAGATATCGACAGTAATCAGATTGTGATAAGTGGTGTGACAGAGGGACCTGGTGTGGCACCTGGGCTGGGACTTACGAGGGGTGATGGTGGGGAGTCAGGAGAAAGGGCCAAGGGTGGAGAAGCATCAAGGGGCACTGCAGGAAGAGGGAGCAGCAAGTGCCAGGCAGGAGACAAGAGATGGCCCAGTGCAGCAGCATGGCTGGAGCAGAGGCAGGAGGTGAGGTAGGGGGAGGAAGGCCCTGGCCTGGCAGGCTGCAGAGCCAGGCTTTATCATGAGGATGGTGGGGACACCAGAGGGTGTAAGGCAGGCAAGGCTAGGAGGGGTAACAGAGTCACCACCCTAGCCTGTGAAGGAAGGCTTGGAGGTATCATATCCCAGCTGAGCAACAAGGCCTGAGCCAGGGCAGGGCCTCCAGCTCCAGCACAGATCCTCAGAGCGGGCTTCCTCAGGGGAGATGAGAGCAGTCAGAGAGGGAAGATGAGAAGGCTTGAGAGAGCCAAATGCCTCCTCAGAATTGGAGATGCAGGAAGCCTCCTAATGCCTGGGGAGAAGTGCTGTTGGGTTCGCCCTCCCCATCCTAACCTGCTGCTGCTAATGGAACCCTGCTCCCCACCTCCTCTCCTGGTTCCCTCTCCTTATGGGGACCATCACGTGCCTGGGCCTTCTCCATTAGCCTGCCTTGGCTGCGTGGTTACAGAAAGGCTCCCTCCATGCTTTTTCTTCACCCATTCATAATGGGGACTTGGGTGGGGCTTGTTATGGAACTCACAGGGCCTCAGTTCCTGGCTGGATCAATGGTTCATCAAACTCTTACAAGGAAATGTAAGTAAATACAAAGATAAAAGCAAAGGAGCTCAGGTTGAAGAGGGATGGCAGCTCCTTAGACCGCCCTATGTAGAGGAGACTTAGCTGAGGGATTTGGAACCTGGTGGACTTGATAATCTCCAAAGCCCAGTGAGGAGAGGGTCAGGGGAAGATATCAGGAGACCTTGACTTCCAGCCCTTCAACAGAAGGACATCCTAACCCTTCATACCTAGGCGACTGGGGATGATGGGCAAAACCCCGAAACAAGAACCTCAGAAGGGCCACTGAGAAAGGAATCATTACTGCCACTTTGCAGAAGAGGAAACAGGCTCAGAGAAGCTTCAAAGGAGGTGAGGCAAGAAGGGGACCTGAGCTCCAGGTTGGGGGTTCGAGGGCAAATCCCTTTCCTCTGTGCCTCAGGCCCAAGTTACCTGTTGTGGTAGCTCAGACATTGTGGGTCTCAGGGATGCGGGTTTTTCTGCTGTAAGTGAGCAAGTTGAACCAGAGCAGAAGCAGAGCCCCGGGCTGGCCACCCTCCAGTAAGGTGGAATCTGAGGCAGAGCCCTGGGTCTTCATACTGATACCAAAGGAATTTTTCTCTGGGCCAAAATAGCATTTACAGTGGGCATCTGATGGGAGAGGAGAGAAGAGGTTTGGCTGAGGTCTCCAGTGTCCAGGGGGCTTTCCCCACAATGAGACCCCAAGGCCTGGACTCCTCAAGGAGGGGCCCCAGGGATTCCTAGCCCCTTAGAAGCTGCATGGATCCACTCGGACAATAGATGGAGGAGGCTGGACAAGGAGCCTTTGTGTCTCCTGGGTGAAGGTCCCTAGGGCACTGCTGAGGCAGCCCAGTCACAGAGAGCTGTGTGTCCACCCTGTTCCTGCTCCTGGCAAGACCGCAGCCAGGCCCAGTCAGCTGATATGGGGCCTAGCAGGACCCGAGGTCCCAGGGCCCTGGGCAAGCTCCCCAGCCGCAGAAACAGACCTTCTGTGCACTTGTCCAGATACTGACTGTCCAGAGCCCCACACAAAACAACACTGACTGGTGGACGGGTGACTGTGATCACCTCTGTTTCACAGAAAAGGAGGCCCCAAAAGGGCTGGACTTGGATCAAGATCTTAGTCTCCCAGAGTCAGTGCTGAAGCTGAGTCAGAACCTGCACTCTCGAAGCCTAGACCAGAATGAGAAGAGGGTGCTGGTCATTTTCACTCATTCATTCAAGCATTCCAACAAGTATTGAGCAACTCCTGGGGCCTCTGGGACCAGGAGAAAGAAGGCAGACAGACTGGTCCTTGGTCTCCTAGAGCTCACAGTTCAGGAAAGGGACAGACTAGGGGCCCTGGCTACAGGAGCCATCCGAATGGGGTTGAGGGCAGAGAAGAGAGTAATGTGGCCGGAGTAGTTTGAAGAGGCAGCTCAAGGGAAGTAGCTCAAGATGACACACCAAAAAAAACCTATTCTTAAGGAATTTCTATTGACTCTTTCTGGCTGAGATTAAGCACAGACAAAGCACAAGAGGCCCCCTTCACTCTCCTTGCCAGAACTGGAGGGTCAGGACCCTGAGCACCCACATTTCCTCCCCACGGGCAATGGGAGGCCAGTGCTCTGAGCAAGGTCCCTGCACAGGTTCTCTGGAAGCCCTTGCGGTGGGCAGTGACAGCGGTCACAGAGACACTGAACTTTGCAAAACTTTGGCAAAGTTTCTGAAAGCCTTTCATCACCCTAGTGAGGAAGGCCAGGGAGCCTCGGTCCCCAGGCGGTAGGGCAGTCCCCGCCCGTCCCTTCCCGGGTAGCGCCCTATGACCCTGCAGTGTTCCCGAGCGGGTAGCGGAGTGTCTGTCCCCGGCAGGAGGTGGCGGCGGCAGTGCCTGGGTCTGTCCGGGAGTCCGGCCCGCCCCCGGCCTGACCCGGAGGGGTGGGGAGCTGGGCGGGGCGGGCGAGGCTCTCGGGCACGTGTGTCCCCGCGGTGGCGCGAGCACTTGGGAGCCCGGTCAGGGCACAGCGTGAGGACCAGAGCCCTGCGAGGTGAGGGTGGGCCGCCTGCAGATCCCGCAGGCGGAGAGAGGGCGGCGGGCGGGCTGGACCGGGTGCGCGCGGGGTGGCAACTCGGCCGGCGCCGGGCAGGCAGACCGGCGCGCGCGCGCGGCTGACCGAGGAGGCACGGTTCCAAACGCCGGTGAGAGCTCCGGCGGGTCCGTGGTCGAGCTCGGGCTCCACCGGAGTTCGATCGCGAGTTATGTGGACTGATACCCCGGGTGAGTGCGCATATTGGGGAAAGTGTGTGTGTGTCCCTGGGTGAGAGCGTGCGCCCCTGCGGAGTCGGGTGGCTGAACCTGTGGAACTTGTTTGTGTTTGTGCTGTGGAATGGGCGCCCCCGCGGCGGGACGTAAGCCAGAGACAGGCCAACCCTGGAGATCCCGAGCCCCCTCTCTCCAGGGGCACCCTGGGTGGCAGCCTCGCCTGGGCATCGGCAAGGCTGAGGCGGGACGGGGGCGGGGGCGGGGGGGGCGGCGCGCGGAGCAGTGGCCTGGAAGGACAGTTAAGCCTCTGTCTGGGGACTTTTAATCTGGCGGGCTGCTGTAGGAAGGGTCAGCCTGGAGAAAGGCAGTGCCCTCTCTCACCTCCCTAAGGAGGGCTGGCAGTGTCAGGCTTAGGGTCCCCCAGGAGCCAGACCCAAGGGCGAGGCCCTGCTGCGGACCAGAAACGGCAGTCTGGGGTCTCTGGGGCTGATGGCAGCTGTTCCTTCCAATACGCATCCTCAGTTTCCCTGGGCTCACAGCTGAAGTGCCCACTTTGTTTTGGATCTGGCTGGAATAATGGGAGCTTTTGAGGGCCAGGGTGGGGCCCAGATAAAGTCTCAGCTGCCTGTTGGTGGAGATGGTTGGGAAAGAGCAGATAGGGCCCCCTACAAGCTCTCTGGAGACCCAGAGACCTTCCCTCCATCATGCCTTGTACACCGTATGACCCTGAGCAAGGCATGTCCCTTCTCTGAGCCTCATCTGTAAAAGGGGAATAACAGTGATGTGGACTATCCAGGAGCTGTCGTGTGGGTCATGCTCAACACCAGTGTCCTCTTGGGCAGGCTCACTCTTTGAGGTTAGGAAGATCAGAGCCTGGGGGATAACTTACTGAAACTCAAATCCCAGTCATTTTTGCTCCTTGGGCTAAACTTTCAGAGAACTTCCACTGAATCACATCTGAGTCCCTTGGCCTGGGACTCAAGGCCTCTGAGAGCTGGTCCTTGCCACCCTCTCCAGCCACCTCTCCTGCCTGACTTTCCATCCTCGTAAATGCATGTAATCTGCTGCGAATACTAGTCACTTTCTTGCCTCTGGACCATTCCATAGTCTATGCTCACTGCCTGAAATACCCTCCTACTCATCTTCCTCAGTTGGAAAACTACCCATCTCAGATGCCCCCTCCTCTGGCAAGCTGTCCTTATTTAGCCAGGTTGGATTGGAGCCTCTTCTGGGCCCTTGCAGTCCTAGAGCCCGAGTTCTGCCTTGAACTGTTAAGGTCTCTGTCTCCTGCTTCTCATTCCCAAGGTCTCCAAACCCCTGGAGGGCAGGAACTGGATCTCACTCATTCTTGTGCTGCCAGGATCCTGCACAGCAGTGGGCTGAATTGGGAGAACAGCAGCAGCCCCTCAGCCCTGTCCCCTGTCCCCAGCTTCCCCAGGGAAAGCCTGTCTACAGTGGAGCTCCACATCATTACAAAGAAGGGGAAACCAGTCAGGCCATCAGCATGGGTGGCACAGATTGTCCTAACAGTGTGTCCTGGGCACTACAGGACTCAGGGTATGCAAGTTGAGAACTTGGATTTCATCCTGAAGGCAAATAGGGAGCCATGGAAGGTTTGTGAGCAGGGCGTGGTCAGAACTGCTTCAATAGACAGTATTTGTTTTTCTCTTTCTGACTTACTTTATTCTGTATGACAGTCTCCAGGTCTGTCTGTCTATGCAAGTGGCACTATTTTGTTCCTTTTTATGGCTGAGTAATATTCCATTGTATATAAATATCATATCTTCTTCATCCGTTCATCTACTGATGGACATTTAGGTTGCTTCCATGTCCTAGCCACAATTTGTATATAGGGCTGCAATGAGCATTGGGGTGCATGTGTCTTTTTAAACTGATTTTCTTTGAGTATATGCCCAGTAGTGGAAATGCTAGGTCATATGGTAGTTCCATTTTTTGTTTTTTAAAGAACCTCTATACTGTTCTCCATAGTGGCTGTATTAATTTACAGTCCCATCAACAATGCAACAGAATTCCCTTTTCCCCACACCCTCTTCAGGATTTATTGTTTATAGATTTTTTTTAATGATGGTCATTCTGACAGGTGTGAGGTGATACCTTATTGTAGTTTTGATTCGCATTTCTCTAATGTCTGTTTAGTTCTTCCACCCATATTTTGATTGGGTTGTTTGGGTTTTTTAATATTGAGCTACATGAGCTGCTTGTATATTTTGGAGATTGATCCCTTGTCAGTTCCTTCATTTGCAAATATTTTCTCCCATTCTGTATATTTTCTTGTTTATGGTTTCCTTTGCTGTGCAAAAGCTTTTAAGTTTAATTAGGTTCCATTTGTTTATTTTTGTTTTCATTTTCATTACTTTAGGAGGTCGGTCAAAAAAGATCTTGCTGTAATTTATTTCAAAGAGTGTTCTGCATTACATTTAATTCTTTAATCCATTTTGAGTTATTTTGTGTGTGTGTATGGTGTTTGGGAATGTTCTGACTTCATTCTTTTACATGTAGCTGTCCAGATTTCATAGTACCACTTATTGAAGAAACTGTCTTTTCTCCATTGTATATTCTTGCCTCCTTTGTCATAGATTAGGTGACCATAGGTGTGTGGGTTTATCTCTGGGCTTTCTCTCCTGTGTAAAGTGCAATGCTCAGGTGAGACCTGTGATATTCACAGACCTAAATGCATTGTGATAATACTAGAACATGAATGCAATAGTGAGGGATGGTGCTGGTTTTTGGAATTTAAACTATTGACTGCTTTCCTCTCCCTGTGCCCTCTCTGCAGAGACTGCTTACCAGTAACATTTTATAAAAGTCCCTAATTTACCTTCCACCACCCCTGTGAAATATACTGGGTTCCATGATAGTTCAGTTGGTAAAGAATCTGCCTGCAATGCAGAAGACCTTGGTTCAATTTCTGGGTCTGGAAGATCCTCTGGAGAAGAGATAGGCTACCCAATCCTATATTCTTGGGCTTCCCTTGTGGTTTAGCTGGTAAAGAATCTGCCCACAATGTGGGAGACCTGGGTTCGATCCTTGGGTTGGAAAGATCCCCTGGAGAAGGGAGAGGCTACCCATTCCAGTATTCTGGCCTGGAGAATTCCATGGACTGTATAGTCCATGGGATTGCAAAGAGTTGGGCACGACTGAGCGACTTTCATTTTAACCCTGTGAAGGAGAAATTATTACCCCCATTTTGAAGATGAGGAAGTAGAAGCTCAGAGAACACCTTGCCCAAGGTCACAAAGCCAAGGTGACGGCAGGGATTCCCACCCACCTGCCCTAGTTTTTTCCTCCCCATTCAAGACAGAAGCCCCATCTGAATGAGGCCAGGTCCTCCACTTTTCAGGCTAAGGGAAGTTTGAATTCCTTCCTGAAAATATGTCTTTATTTCTTGCCTGTGGCCTGATTACCCAGCTGCTGCTAAGATAGTATTTGTTCAGGCTGTCCACAGGGCTGGAGAAACCTTGCTGATTTGGGTGACAGGAGGTGGCACTGCTCCTGGTGAAATCTTTCCTCTTCCCAAACTCCTTCTGTGAGTCTGTGTGGTGCACCATTTTTAAAGTTTATTTTTGAAATTTTATTTGGCTGCTCCATACCTGAGTTGAGGCATGCAGGATCTTTAGTTGCGTCATGCTGGCTCTAGTTCCCTGTTCATGTGCATGTTTTGTCACTCAGTCACGTCCAACTCTTCACGACCACATGAACTGTGACCTGCCAGGCTCCTCTGTCCATGGGATTCTCCAGGCAAGAATACTGGAGTGGATTTCCATTTCCTTCTCCAGGGGATCTTCTCAACCCAGGGATTGAACCCAGGTCTCCTGCATTGTCGGCAGATGCTTTACCATCTGAGCTACTAGGGAAGGCCAAGGATTAGTTCCCTAACCAGGGATCAAACCTGGGCCCCCTGCATTGGGAGCATAGGGTCTTAGCCACTGGAACACTAAGGAAATCCCTGGTGCACCTTTTGACCCACATGTTCTTCTTAGGCTACTTTTGTGTTCTCAGGCCTGACCTCTCCCAGCTGTTGGGCCCTGATGTGCAGAGGTTGACTATGGGAGCCTTCCTCACCTCTATATTCATTCTAGAGGTCAGTTGTAGGAGTAGGCCAGGCTGGGTCTGCTTTTTTTTTCTGTCCACATAACCCAGCACAGGTTGGACACAGAGAAGGTGCCAGTGAGTGTTGGCGAAGTGAATGACCAGAAGAAAGTAGGTGTATAATAGAAAAAGAAGGTCTTGCTCCATGGAGAGCTATAGTTGGTTCTTGAGCAGAGGGTTCCTGAGAGCTCTTATGTGTCAGTAATTCTCCCTGTTTTATCAGTGAAGAACCTGAGACTCAGAGAGGGGAACTGACTTGACCAAGGCTGCATAGCATGGATGTTCCAAGTTGGAACCAGAACCCAGGGTTCTTGCTTCTTAATTGTGACTGGAAGCCTTCGGGTGTGATGGATCAGGGTGGAGTCCACGGCCTGTGGTTCTGAGCTGTTTCAGGTCAGCAGCATACCTCTGCAGCTCTGTACTGGGCTGGATCGTGTCAGAGGTGGGCCAGCTGGTTTGGAGTCTTGCCCTGGAGGTTGTCTGAGGGGAACTTAACCCCACACTGAAAATAATTCGAACACCAGACCTGGATAAGGCCCTTCCACTTAAGGAAGTGGTCTCAGTTTCCTGATCTGTAAGGCAGGAGAACCAGCTTGGCTGACCTCTGAGACCCACACACTCAGATGTTCTGAGCTCAACGACAGTGGGTGGCCCCCAGTCAGGATCCTGAGGACTCCCAAGACGGAGAGAGACTCCATAAGGGGCTCCAGAGACCGAGGGCCTCCAGAGGAGGCTGAGAGGCATCACACTGCAATAGCACCTGCTGGTAACATCTGAGGGTACCCCTCAGATATTTCCCCAGACCAGCCCCAGTGTTTGTGATGCAGAAAGCATACCAGGCAAAGCTGGGTGCCTACGGGCCTTCAGCCCCAGGGAGGACATTTGGGAGAGGGTAGAGGATGACTCCAAAGCTCCTCCCTGTCCTCCAACCCAGCCTTGCCCTTCCTACGTGCTCCCTCTGCCCCAAGCCATAGGGATAACTGACAGTTTCCCAAAACACTATGTGATCACCCGCCCCAGTTTTTGCTCTCTTTGCTCCTCTTCTCTCTCCACCCACCTGATTTCCTACCTATCTTCCAAAACATGTGTCCTCTCCTCCAGGAAGCCTTCCCTGACCACACCCCCTTTCCATTAGGGGCCTTCATGTCTCCTTCAGCCCTGATCACTCTAAGTTGTCATTGACTATTTCTGGATCTTCCCTTGTCCTTTCTCCTCCACCCTCAACCTTGACTGTGAGCTCAAGATCATGGAAGGGTCTGACCCACCTCAGAGTCCCCAAGTGCCCCACACAGACAGAGGTGCAGATATGGCAGCCTCTGTAAAGGGTGAGTGAGTGAAAGGGTGTGGTGGGGTCTAAATCTTGCTGGGGGTGCCTAGGTTGCTCTCCCTTCTGAGGATGGCCTTCAGCGTGAGAACCTTGATCTGTGGTCAGTCTGGCTGTCACCTTGCTCCTCTGCCCATAATACCATGAGTTTCCTGCCCCTATTATCTTCTTGGAATACCCACATCCTGCCCACCTTCTTCACCTACTAAAATCATAGCTCTTTTAATTATTTCACAAAGTCTAAATCATCTCCTTTAGTTATCTTGACAGACTTACGAGGCAGGTACTATTTTTAGATTGCAAAGAAATTGAGAGTTAGATTGTGGAGCTGAGGCTTGTCCGGGTCTCATGGCTGGGAATGAAAGAACTGGGATCTCCCCGCTGCCTAGTGCCCTCCACTGCCCCTCAGCAGTTCTAGGTCCAGGGCCTCTGTTTCCCTTCACAGCACCTCACCTCCTGCAAAGGCAGGAGTTTCCAGCATGATGACAGGTCACTTTCCCCTGCTGGACTGGACAGGGCCAGCCAGGTGGGTGGCAAGCAGGCAATACATTCCAGAGCCACCCGAGTGGAGAAGCTGGAATGCTGTCCAGCTACCCTGAAAAATCTGTAACCAGTTTGGGAACTGCCCCAGCCACTCTTCCTGGCTTTGAGCTCACTAGCCTGGGGCCACAGAGAGAAAGATAGGGTGAGGGGGAGAGGAAGAGCCAGGTTGGGTAAGGGGTAGAGGCAGGTAGAGGCAGAGCTAGGTCCAGGGGGCAGGTAGTGAGTCTGCATGCTAGGCTTGCTCTGCCCCTGGCTTATAGATGACCTTGGGTGAGATCCTGGGCTAACCTTTCGGGTCTTGTTGGTTTGTCTTTTTGTTGTTTGTTTGCTTTTAACTGTAAAATGAGTACAGTAATATCATGGCTGCTTAACAGTGGGGAACTACCAGGAAGAGTAGATCTTGGGCCTTGCCAGTAAGACGTGTTCCCTCTGGTGGAGAACTAATCAGAACTATTTCCCTCACACTAAAAACTGTGGGAGCTTTCTGGAAGAGAGGATCTAGGAGGTAGTGGTCATTTTACCCCCAAACTGGGTTTGACTCTTGGTGGGTGTCAAGTCAAAAGACACAACCAAGCCAAAGAGCAGGAGAGGGGGACTTCCCTGGTGGTCCAGTAGTTAAGAATCTGCCTCCCGATGCAGGAGACACAAGTTCGATCCCTGGTTCTGAAAGATTCCATGTGCTTTGGGGTAACTAAGTTTGTGTGCCACAACTACTGAGCCTGTGTGCTGCAACTACCGAAGTGCCCGTGTTCCGCAACCAAAGAAGTCACGGCAATGAGAAGCCTGCTCAGTGCAACAAAGAGTAGCCCCCACTCGCTGCAACTAGAGAAAGCCCGCATGCAGCAATGAAGACCCAACACAACCAAAAATAAATAAATAGCCAACGAGGCCAGAATGATCCCATGGGAGTTCAATTGCAGACCTGAGGCTTGTCTGAGTCCCACAGCTGGGAACTAGGAGCTAGTCCCATAGCAGAACTAGGATCTCCCACCTGTCCAGACAAAGCAAGATGTTCTACCTTAGTCTTTTCAGTGAAAGTATCTCCTTAGGAGAAGACTGGGTGAGACATGTTCCGCAACCAAAGAAGTCACGGCAATGAGAAGCCTGCTCAGTGCAACAAAGAGTAGCCCCCACTCGCTGCAACTAGAGAAAGCCCGCATGCAGCAATGAAGACCCAACACAACCAAAAATAAATAAATAACCAACGAGGCCAGAATGATCCCATGGGAGTTCAATTGCAGACCTGAGGCTTGTCTGAGTCCCACAGCTGGGAACTAGGAGCTAGTCCCATAGCAGAACTAGGATCTCCCACCTGTCCAGACAAAGCAAGATGTTCTACCTTAGTCTTTTCAGTGAAAGTATCTCCTTAGGAGAAGACTGGGTGAGACCCTAGGTGGAGCAGGTGAGAAGGTGAAGAACTCTTTCACCTTATCACTAGACTCCCGACTACCGGCCCGCTGGCCCGTGTCAGCCTGAGACTCCTGGGCAAGGTGCACTGGGAAAATCGTGGTCCAAGGCCTTTCCTGGTGTCCCCTCCCCCTGCCCTATTTCTGTGGTTTCCCCATCTCCTCCTCTCTCCACTTTCCCCACACTTGCATGGGCTTCCAGCTTGGGGGCCTGGCTTCAGCTGTCTCAGACCCTGCTCCCCCATTGCAGGGAAGTGAACCCGGGATAAAAAGGAAAGGAATGTTCTCTTTCTCTGAGATGGGTCTGAGGTTCTGGTGGACACTGGGACCTGCCCACACAGTGGCATTTCTCCACCAGTCACCATCCCCTCACCGAAGCACTGTGCCTGCCCTGTGGGAGGGGCAAGACAAACAACCAGGGCCAGAATCTTGACCTGGGTGCTGATCTTGGCTCTGTCTCTGGCTGATTGTGAGCCCTTGGGCCCTAGTTTCCTCCTCTGTCAAATAAGAGTTTGGCAGAGGTGATTTCTAAAGGCTGTTCCAGGCTCCGGCTGTCAAACACTCTGTGTGTGAGAGAGAGGCATTGTGTGTGTGTGCACATCTGAATATGAGTGTCTGCATCTCTGTGTATCTAGGTGTGGCCGTGCCTGTGTGTGCCCATGTGTTTACACCACACCTATGGAGGAATGATTAGCGGTGGGATGAGGGAGGAAGGGTATTCCATATAAAGACTCAGCTTGAGGTAAACTGTGTTGGCCACAGTACCATTGAGTGCATACTGGGAAGCAAGGGTATTGAGTGTTTCCTGTTGTGGGGCTGAAGCACAGACAGGGACTGAGGGGGGGGGGCCACTGGAAGCTCAGCTCAGCTCCGTAGGATATGGGGGAGAACCTCCCTGGCAGAGCCATCCTCCAGTGAAAGGAGGTGCCTGGGAACACCTGTACAACATGTGAGCTAAAAGGGAACAGCTAAGGGGCAAGAATGGGCAGAGGGCACTCCTGCCTACCGGAACAAGCACTCCTGGTCACTTTCTGCCTCTTTCAGACCAGGGCTGGCACAGAGGAGGCAGCCCAGGGGAAGGCTCGTCCTAGCTGACTTCCTGTGACCCAGAGCCCCAGCTGTCTCCACCTCCCTGTCTCTGGAGCCCACAGCATTGCCTGCCCTGAGAAATGCTGGAAGCTGGGCGAGGCCCCAGGCTGGAGGACCTGTTTTTCCTGTTTCCCACAGAGCTCCCTGCAGCTCGGTCCAGGCCTGTGCATTCATGAGTGAGGAACCTGAGCTGGAACTGAGCATCCTGACAGCGAGAGCAGGGGCTGGTCAGGTATGGGCGTGAGAGGGTGGGGTCCGCTGGCTGGGAAGTTGGGAGGTTGGGGCAGGCAGGCTCATGCATGTGTATACACTGACCTGGGGGTAAATCAAGGGGATCCATGCCCTGCTACCTCATCCCAAGCTGTGATGAATTCAGGCTTCAGAGCCAGACAGCCCTGAGTATCAAATCCAGTTTTTCCAATACCTGGCAGTGTGACCTTAAACAAGTAGCCTAACTCCTATGGCAGTATCTGCTGAGGAATGCGGTGAGGAGTGAAATGAGGATGCTTCAGGGGAAGCTGCTCAACCCAGACTTTGTCTCTACAAAGTGAAGTGGGTGGCAGTCCAGGATCAGGAGCTCCTGATCCCATGACCTGAGCCAGAGAGGTGTCAGATAGAGGAACGTGGATCAGACAGCTGACCCATCTTCAGAATGCCTGGGTCCAGTTTCCTTCCCTCTGGCACTTCCCTAATCTGTCCAGAGAAGGGCAGGGCTCTTGAAAAAGAGCCAGTCCAGCGGTCTGCCTGGGGCAGGAGCAGGCCTCAGGTGGACTGGGCCCCTGGAGAGCTGGTCTGACCCCTGGCCACCTAGGGTCAGCAGCTGAGAAATCCTTCAGTGTCATCGTCCGCTGAAAGGCCCTCGGTGTCATTGTCCGCTGAAAGGAGACCAGTATCATAAAGCTTAGCCTCCTCTAGGCTCCCATAGCCTCTTGTGCTTGCTTCACTCATTCACTCATTCTCTCATTCATGTCATGCCTGCTTTGGATGAGGCCTCTAGCTGGAGGACAGGGCCAGAGAAAAGAATCAGCTAGGAGTTCCTGGAATGTGTTGGGATAGAGGGTGGAGGGACAAATCCCCTGCAGGATGTAAGGAATGCCCTGAGGGGTTCGTGATGCAGGGAAAGAGCCTTGGAGATGAGATTTGAGAAGAGTCTTGAGGGGTGGGTGAAGTATGGTGTGAGTGGGTCAGGGAAAGCTTTCCAGGTGGAAAGACCGTGACACACAGAGGCAGGGAAGTCTGTCAGGGCACTCACATGGCTCCCAGCTCCCAGCACACTCAGAGCTCTTGAGGTCAGGGCCAGCCAGAACAGGGCACAGAGGGGTAACTGATCTGTCCAGAGAAGGGCAGGGCTCTTGAAAAAGAGTTAGGTGGGAGCTGGTCCCGGGCAGCTGGGAGTGAGGCCCTAAGGGTATCAGGGGTCAGGAGAGGCAGTAGAACAGGCTGAGGGAGAGGACTGGGGACTTGGCTGGCTCTGTAAGCAGGAGCCGGTCAGAGAGGGTGGGGAGGGAAGTTGTACTCACAAGCTGGTGGGCTGGCCTGTAGAGAGAGAGGGCAGGAGGGGTCAGTCTGGACAGGGGCTGCGGTGATAGAATCCCTAGCTGCCCTGGGAGGGTGGAGGCCAGGATGTCTTAAAACAGATGGAAAGGGCAGCTCCCTTGGTTCATGAGCCACTTAGGGAAGTTTCCACCCCTGCCGTCAGTGTCAGAGACTCCTCCGTGAGTTAGCAAGGAGCTCTGTGACCAGCCATGAGATGTTGACATGAAGGGAAGATGAAGGCCCTGACCCTCACTCTGAGGAGAGACCTGCCAGGCCTCAGCACGGGGGCGGAGCAGAGCAGCAGTGTGGAGGTGGGGCTGGGGTGGGGGGGGTGCCCTGAGCATGCCCAGTGGTCACAGCAGCTCATGAGGAAAGTGTTGGCACCATAGTGCTACCAGGCCAGGGGATTCAGCACCTGAGAGGTCTGACCCTCAGGAGGGCAGGAAATTCCTGATGTCACCTAGGGCTCTGTGGCAGAGCTGGACACCCCATGCCAGTGTCCCCAGAGGGAGTGTAGCCCCTCCATGGATCCTCAGTCTTGCACCTAGGCCTCCATGCTCCTTCTGCAGCTCCTGTGAGCCAGCTACCCCTACCCACCTCTCAGTACTTCAGATCTGGTGATCCCAGCCTTCACCCTTCTCCAGGCCATGACACCCCTTTGGGGCACACCACACTTACTGTATCTGACACAGAGTTCCCTCTCCTCCCAACCCCTGAGCCTGAGGCGTCCTGGCCCCTCCTCCATCCAGACTCCCTCCCAAACAGTTCTCAGACCTCTCTCCTCATGAGATCCCCAGGCCTGGCCCAGCATGGGCCTGGTGTCACTCCCTTGGCCCCCCACACTCACCTGCTCCACAACCTCCAGGACCTTGTCACTCCTCTGCTCGTGGCCTAAGAGGGCTTCCCAAAGAGGTCAAGAGAAGGCCACGGCTGAGCTGAGTCTCAAAGCTTGTAACACACAGTGTGCCCACCGTGTGCCAAGTGCGGCTCCAAAGGTTTTACACAAATTGCTCCCCTAACCCTCATAGCAGGCCTGTGACGTAGCTTCTGTTGATCACCTCATTTCACAGGTGAGGGGACAAGGGCAGCCCTGGGTCCAGAGGCCAGCTTCTTCCTAATCACTGGATTAGGATAAAGAGTTGTCATTTCAATAGATGGAGATGAGGGGCATGCAGGGATTCAAGGCTGAAGGAGTAACGTGAAGCATAGCCGAGAGGGGAAACGTGCTGGCTGCATTCAGGAAACAGCAGGTCTTGGGGGATGTGGATGGTGACAGAAGCTGGGTTTTACAATCCGCTGGTACCAGCCTGAGGAGCTGGATTTTCTCCTGAGATCAGACAGGAGCCACAGCGGGTTTCCAGCAGGGGAGTGACTTTCTCTTTTCCAAAGATCCCTCTGGATGGAAGGGATTGAGGCTGGAGACAGGGAGACTGATACAGGGGCTCCAGCAGCAACAGTAGAGGTAACATTGGGCTGCAAGGAGCTGGGTGGGATGCAGGAAATGCTTTAATGCTGGTTCTTGAGTCAAGAGGGATCCTAGCAGTTTGGCCTTGCCAATGGCCCCTGATCCCATATGTACCTTCTCATCCTGTATCTCCCCTGGCTCCTTGGGGAGGAATCTGTGTCTGTGGGAGCAAGGTCATGAGGGCAGGCTCCCTGTCTCCTAGTTGCATCTTTGCTGACAGTAGCAGGAAGGGAAGATAGAGGAGGGAGAGTTAGGAAGGAAGGAAGGGAGAAGAAGGAAGCTGAGGAGGCAATTGTCCCTCAGCCACCCTGATCTCAACTTCATGAGCCCTGAGCTCCTTCTGGGAGAACTGGCTGGGCAAGAATCTCAGCGTCTAAGGGAATGGATGTCATTGGCCCTGCAGAATCTGAGTCCCAGCCTCTCAGGATCCTGGGGTTCCAAAATAGGAGGGATTATACAGCCCCAGATTCTCAGGGTGAGGAGGACTCACATGTCATCTGCCTTCTCTGTCCTCCCAGACACACCCACACACAGGTCACAAGCCCTTCTGCACTCACTAGGGAGCCACTTGCACAGTCCCATAATCAGGGAGTCCACTACCTGAAGGCTGTGACCTGGGCAAGTTACCTTGAATGATCTGTGACCCAACTTCTATCAGAAACCTGGGCATGATAACCTGGCTCCCAGAACCATGATGTAAGGATAGAATGAAGCAATATTGATAAAGCACACATAGCAGTAGTGGGGTTTCAATAATGTCAGCTCCCCCTGCATCTTCACACTCTTAGAAACCTACTCTTTGTGTTCCAAGCCTGCCCACCTGGGACTCCTGCTATGACTTCCAGCCTGCCTTCTGAGACCTTTGGGCACATCTTTGCCCTCCAGACTGGGATAGTCTGAGAGAGCTCTTCTTGGTCACATTGGAGGGATGGGGAGAGGAGTAAGGTGGCATCCTGATCTCCAGGTGCTCTCTGTCTGGGCGGTCAGGCACCATAGCTGCATTATATGCTCACTGGGAACAAGGTAGGAGAAGGTCAAGGTGGTGGTGATGTGTGGAGAGAAGCAGGGCAGGTCTGGAGGAAGCTAAGTTTGCCCCACAGAAGTTCCCCATTCCCCCATTTCCATCTCCACCCCAGACTTGCCTGCAATCTTCAGGAAGGTCACTGCCCCATGTGGTAGCCTCAGAGACCACCTGCTGTTTACAGATGCAGAAAGTACCAGAATATAGGAGTCCCTAAAAAATATTTGCTGAGAGGTGACTGAATAACTAAAGAGGGAAACCCTTACAAAGCTCCTTCAAATGCCAAAATACTAGGCACAGGGCCAGAACCTCCCAGAGAGTGGAAAGATAAGCCAAACAAAAGAACTTCCTAATGCCTCCAGAAAAGTATGAGCTGCCCCAGTCACAATCCTAGATCTGGAACTCTATTCTTGAGGTTCTCAAACACCAAAAAAAAAATTTTTTTTTAAGGCAACATGGTATTTTAGGCTTCGAGGAATATATGGTCTTTGCCACAACTATTCAGTGCTGTGTAAACAGATGGTCATGGCTATGTTCCAATAATGCTTTATTTACAAAAACAGACTGGTGGGCTGGATTTGTCCCTCAGTTTGCCTACCCGTTTTAAATTGTTAGAATTATATGATCCTGACATTCATGGATCTCATTTGTTCTTAGGGTTCCAAGGTTCTGGGCCCTCTGTGTCCACAGAGAGAGGCAGATCAGATGCAATAAAAGCCTTGAATGTGGTTGGGCAGATCCTGACGGAGGTGTCTGTGGGCACTTGGGGTCCCTCATGGCCTGGGTCAGGCGGGTGTATCAGGTCTCCCTGCTGGGTCCCCCAGCCATCCATGACCCTGATGGTTGTTCTCTCCACTCCCACCCCACCCCACCCCCATCCCTACTTCCCTTCAGGGCCATGGCCACAGGCCTGGACATCTGGAATGGCACTACCAATGGCACCTGGGATGGGGATGAGCTGGACTACAAGTGCCGCTTCAACGAGAGCTTCAAGTACGTGCTGCTGCCCGTGTCCTATGGTGTGGTGTGCGTGCTCGGGCTGTGTCTCAACGCCGCGGCGCTCTACATCTTCCTGTGCCGCCTCAAGACCTGGAACGCCTCCACCACGTACATGTTCCACCTGGCCGTGTCGGATGCGCTGTACGCCGCCTCCCTGCCCCTGCTGGTCTACTACTACGCCCAGGGCGACAACTGGCCCTTCAGCACCGTGCTCTGCAAGCTGGTGCGCTTCCTCTTTTACACCAACCTCTACTGCAGTATCCTGTTCCTCACGTGCATCAGTGTGCACCGGTGCCTGGGCGTCCTGCGGCCGCTGCACTCGCTGCGCTGGGGCCGGGCCCGCTACGCCCGCCGGGTGGCGTTCGCCGTGTGGGTGTTGGTGCTGTCCTGCCAGGCCCCTGTGCTGTACTTCGTCACCACCAGCACCCGTGGCAGCCGCATCACCTGCCATGACACCTCGGCACCCGAGCTCTTCGGCCACTTTGTGGCCTACAGCTCCGTCATGCTGAGCCTGCTCTTCGCCGTGCCCTTCGCCGTCATCCTGGTCTGTTACGTACTCATGGCTCGGCGGCTGCTAAAGCCGGCCTACGGGACCACCGGCGGCCTGCCGCGGGCCAAGCGCAAGTCCGTGCGCACCATCGCCATTGTGCTGACTGTCTTCGTCCTCTGCTTCCTGCCTTTCCACGTCACCCGCACCCTCTACTACTCCTTCCGCTCGCTGGACCTCAGCTGCCACACCCTCGACGCCATCAACCTGGCTTACAAGGTCACCCGGCCGCTGGCCAGCGCCAACAGTTGCCTTGACCCTGTGCTCTACTTCCTGGCTGGGCAGAGGCTCGTGCGCTTTGCCCGGGATGCCAAGCCACCCACTGACCCCACCCCTCCCACCCAGGCTCGCCACCGGCTGGGCCTGCACAGGTCCTACGGAAGTGATGCTGTCAGGACAGAAGACTCGGCCAGCCGTGAGAACTCCAGGGGGACAGAGTCCTCACTGGCCGGTAGTGGCGCTGACACTAAGGACATCTGGCTGTAGGCGCTGAACCCCTGTTCAAGTTTACATGAGATGGGGCTGTAGACTTGTTCAAAGGGGACAGTCTCCCCAGATATGGACCATCAGCGACTCAGGCAGGATGGTCAAGGGAGCTGTGACCCCAGCACTCTGTCATTTGAGTGGGACTCGGTCTGTTCTCTGTGATCCAGAGAGCATGGCAGTCCCCACGCCCTTAGTCACCATTTATATGTGCAGGGTGGGGAGTAAGATCTTAAGAAAAGAGTTTAGGGACAATGGCAGCTCTGGCCTGACTCCCACATAAATACCTGGCTGTGCCTGCCAGGGTCCCCAAGCTCGGCTCCAGCACAATCAAGTCAAATGGAGAAACGGGCCCAGAGAGGAAAGAGACTTCCCGAGGTCACACAGCCAAGCCTGGGCCTGAGCTGCCTGGGAGGGGCGGGGTCGCAAGTTGACCAGAGGACCCTGGTAAGGGGTAAGGGCTGAGCCAGAGGTTCCCACAATGAGTCGGAGTGGTCTGAGTGCCATGGTGGGCTTGGCTCTGAGGAGTACCCTCAGTCCAAGGGATGTATGTCTGGAAACTGATATCATAAACCCATCATAAACTGTTTATGATGACATAAACTGATTTTGCTGGCTGCAGAGGGTCCCAGTCCTTAGGGTCCCCCCAGTATAGGATTTAATGGCAATAACCATTAAGTGCTGATAAATGTTAAACCATTTAACTAACTGTCCGGAGATGGTGGGGGGAATCCTTGATTTATAAACACTGCCAATAGCTGTGGTACAAATAATCCTACCAGGGCCAGCTTCAGACTGCCAGTGGGATGTCAGCCTCCTTGCAAAATACCTGAAAATTTAGCATTTGGCCCTTGCGAGCAGGTACAAGTTTGTTTAGCACACCACTGGATCACATGAATGGTTGGGGCTGTGGACTGTGCGTCAGGGAAAGCCTCTTGGAGTGGCAGGACTTCCAAGAAGAACACTTCATCAGAGAAGAACATGAAAGTGCAGGTGCCAGCTAGCTCTAGCCTTTGGGCAGGAATAGGGCAAAACTGACCTCACTTTTAATTTCGAGAATAAGGATTATCTCTCTCTCCCTCTGGGAAAGCCCTTCCCTGATGGGCCCACTCTGCCTGCTTTCCCCACCCCACCTCCACCTACCTCCAACGACTTCTCCACCCTTCCCATTCTGCCTCGTCTAAACAGCACCCTCAGGGTTGCCCTATTTGGAGTCTAGCTCCAGGGCTCCCCCGTGTGACAGGGACCTGTCATGAGCCATGACCCAGACCATTACTCTGCATTGTGTAACATGGGTGACTTGCCCAAAGTAGTGTGGAATGCTCACCTCCCACATTCTAGGTTCTATACTTCTGTTAATATAGCCGGGATCCCTATGTTTATCTTTGTGATGATCTCTTAGAGTCTGTCCTTGAACCTTTCTTGCAGGCCTGATTCTATTTCTTTCCTATCAGCTGCTGCTCAGGCTGAACCCCATCTCAGTTTATAAGGAGTCTCTACCCAGGTGAGATGCTCTACTGACCAGGAGTGTTGATACTGAGCTCTGACTCCCTCAGCCCTGCTCAGACCCAGAGGCAGGGAGTTATATGTCATGACTTTGGGGGCCCTTGAATGTGCATCTGCAGTTGAGGATGGGACTGTGTCCCATGGGCCCAAGTTCCCCTGGTCCCTACTCCTTTCATGTCCTGCTCACTTACCCCTCCAGCAGCTGTCCTGAGACCCCGAGAACTGAGGACTTAGCCTCTGCAGCACATGGAGACCACACTATGGCTTAGCCTCAGGAAGCCTTCATTGAAACCAATGCCTGAAGATGTCTAAGGACACAGGACCTAGGGGACAGGAGGAGTTTACTCACCATCCAATCCTGTGGCTGACACTTGTGGAGGTGGGGAATGGAGACCCTAAGGGAACCATGGACAGGCCCAGGACCCCATCTCTGGGCCCTGGTCAGACTGCCTGGCCCCTTGTTGTGGACATTGGGCCTTGCTGTTTAGTGGGCAGGCCACCCTCCTTGAGGGTGGGTTCCCGATCCTGTTGCCTTATGCTATTTTCAGCCTAAGTAAGAGCAGGATTTTCCACTCTCGGCCCCAGACCATTGTCCAGCAATGACGTGGACGGACCTGTCTGCTCTCAAAATATCTCCTGTTACTCCGTGGGCCTCCCTGCCCTTTCCCCACCTCCTCAGCCTGACATCACTTCCTGGGGCTGTTGACTCCAGAAGGCTGCTGTGACAGGGCGCAGCCTGACGGACCCCAGGGACTGTCAGCCCAGCTGTAGACTCAAGGCCAGAGGGGGGCGGGGCCTTGCCCAAGGTCACCCGACAGGTCAGCGTGGCGCCTGGATGTGCGCCAGGGGCTTTGGCCGCCCCAGCTGCTCCGCTCCCGGCAGTGCAGGTCAGTGCCTCTGTGGGAATCCTGCCATCACCCCCACCACCCCAGCTCTTCCCACCTCTGATGGAGCTAGGGAGCTAAAGCCAGGGACTTGGGGCACCTGGGGCGGTGTGGGAACAGCTGGGAGGAGGAAACGCCTGCTGACTGGCCAGCAGCAGCTCAGCTCGGGGAGCTCCATGCAGCAGGGGCAGGGGCCCTGGCACATAGAGGTCTTTGCCCTGGGTGGCAGCTGTCCTGGGGCCCAGGAGGGACACTGACCCTCCAAAGGCTAGGAAAGGCACTGGGTAACATGCCCTCTAGACACAACTACTCCAATCTTGGCAGGTCAGGCCACCAAAGCTACCCCTCTACCATCACCCTTGTCATGGAAGATTTGGGCAGATGTCAGAATCAGGCGCCTAAAGAAGGGAACTGAGATATCAACCTATGTCCCAAGCACCAGGCAGGGCCCTCTCACATCTGTTGTAATATTTCTTCACCATCACCATGTGAGATAGACAGTATTATTCCCATTTAGCAAATGAGGGAACAGGCTCTGAGAGATGAGGACTTGCTCCAGGTTATACAGGCAGTAAACAGGTGAGTCAAGACTGAGTTCATCCATCCGATGCCCTGAGTAGTTCCCTTTCCAGCTTCCCCTGCCACTTGCAGTCCCTGCAGGGCAGGAGAGTTTGTAAGCAACCCTTCAACCTTCATGTGATTCAGGATGAGAGAGGCAGTCCAGTGAGGATGGGGTTAAGAGCACTAATTCTCTGCCCAGACCACCTGCATTTGAGTGTCTCCACTTTTCTTCAGCTGTGGCATCTTGGGCAAATCACTGAATCTTGTAGCCCCTCTGTTTTCTCATTTCTAGAAGGAGACACTACCTCCCATGTAGGGCATTGGGAGGTCTGAATCAATAGAGGCCTGAATCAATACACATGAGGCAGTGAGAATAGAGGCTGGAACATAAGCATTTACATGTTGGGCACTGTGCCACGGGGATGTGGAGGTGAACCAGCTGGCCCTGCCCTTGTGGAGTTGACATAATTTAATATATAGCCACATGGGGATAAGTGATTTGAAGGAAAGGACTATGTGTCCGGCCAGTGAACAATAGAGTGTCCCCTGTGGGCGAGGCTTCCTCAGGATGTGGGGGAAGGGAGCAGGCCATCCTGGGGTGAGGTGTGGGACCACACTCTGCCCTGCCTGGCCCTGGGTGGCACAGCTGTGACAGGGCGCAGCCTGACGGACCCCAGGGACTGTCAGCCCAGCTGTAGACTCAAGGCCAGAGGGGGGCGGGGCCTTGCCCAAGGTCACCCGACAGGTCAGCGTGGCGCCTGGATGTGCGCCAGGGGCTTTGGCCGCCCCAGCTGCTCCGCTCCCGGCAGTGCAGGTCAGTGCCTCTGTGGGAATCCTGCCATCACCCCCGCCACCCCAGCTCTTCCCACCTCTGATGGAGCTAGGGAGCTAAAGCCAGGGACTTGGGGCACCTGGGGCGGTGTGGGAACAGCTGGGAGGAGGAAACGCCTGCTGACTGGCCAGCAGCAGCTCAGCTCGGGGAGCTCCATGCAGCAGGGGCAGGGGCCTTGGCACATAGAGGTCTTTGCCCTGGGTGGCAGCTGTCCTGGGGCCCAGGAGGGACACTGACCCTCCAAAGGCTAGGAAAGGCACTGGGTAACATGCCCTCTAGACACAACTACTCCAATCTTGGCAGGTCAGGCCACCAAAGCTACCCCTCTACCATCACCCTTGTCATGGAAGATTTGGGCAGATGTCAGAATCAGGCGCCTAAAGAAGGGAACTGAGATATCAACCTATGTCCCAAGCACCAGGCAGGGCCCTCTCACATTTGTTGTAATATTTCTTCACCATCACCATGTGAGATAGACAGTATTATTCCCATTTAGCAAATGAGGGAACAGGCTCTGAGAGATGAGGACTTGCTCCAGGTTATACAGGCAGTAAACAGGTGAGTCAAGACTGAGTTCATCCATCCGATGCCCTGAGTAGTTCCCTTTCCAGCTTCCCCTGCCACTTGCAGTCCCTGCAGGGCAGGAGAGTTTGTAAGCAACCCTTCAACCTTCATGTGATTCAGGATGAGAGAGGCACTCCAGTGAGGATGGGGTTAAGAGCACTAATTCTCTGCCCAGACCACCTGCATTTGAGTGTCTCCACTTTTCTTCAGCTGTGGCATCTTGGGCAAATCACTGAATCTTGTAGCCCCTCTGTTTTCTCATTTCTAGAAGGAGACACTACCTCCCATGTAGGGCATTGGGAGGTCTGAATCAATAGAGGCCTGAATCAATACACATGAGGCAGTGAGAATAGAGGCTGGAACATAAGCATTTACATGTTGGGCACTGTGCCACGGGGATGTGGAGGTGAACCAGCTGGCCCTGCCCTTGTGGAGTTGACATAATTTAATATATAGCCACATGGGGATAAGTGATTTGAAGGAAAGGACTATGTGTCCGGCCAGTGAACAATAGAGTGTCCCCTGTGGGCGAGGCTTCCTCAGGATGTGGGGGAAGGGAGCAGGCCATCCTGGGGTGAGGTGTGGGACCACACTCTGCCCTGCCTGGCCCTGGGTGGCACTCAGGCTCATGAGCTGATGTGTGTTTACAGAACCTTGTCCGGGTGATGGGCTGTGGAAGGGCTTTAGGGAGAAGTGACAGTGGAAAGGGGATGAACAGGATGGCTCCCACCCACCCATGGCAGCAAGGCTTTGCCGTTTCTTCCTGACTGGTGGTACCCACCAGGGTGCTGCAGCCACTCCTAGGTTTATCCAAGAGTCAGAGACCCAGGGCTGGAGAACCAACCTGGAGCTGGGCCAGAGCAGGCAGCAGATGGGCAGTTTTTGCTGTGTGACCTGAGTCTATGTGCCTGCCCTCTCTGGGTCACTCTGTAGAGGCTGGAGACCTTGCCTTCCACACACCAGTTGTCTCTAACTTAGGGCATCAGCAGCCTCGATTTTTCATCAAAGACACAGCTAACACCTGCTCCCCCAGGCACTGCTAGGACCCATGAGCCCTCAGTTCTGAGAACTAGAGTGGGGCAGTGGATCTCCCCTGGCATCAAGTGAGCAGAAAGATGAAGTGACTCCACTGGTACCACGCGGTGCCTTGGAGTAGCTCCAGCTGAATGTCAGACGCTTCTGCCTCCTGTGGGGTGAGGCTGGAGCTTGGCCAGAAGTGACTGGGGTGACAGGTGAGGGATGCATTTGCCTTCCCCATGGGTATGTGCTTGAGGTGGAGGGTGTGAGGGTGAGGGAAATGAGCCCCAGAAACCAAACTCATCCTCCTCTGCTCTGATGTGCCATGTGACATGGTGAATCCCCTTTTCCTCTTTGGATCTCAGTTTCCAATTTCCCCATATATAACGGCCTTGGCTCTGCACATCCACCCCTCAGTGGCCCAAGCCCCTTATGAGGGCTTGCCCCTGTCTTGGCTCCAAGTCAGCCAGGTGTCCAGTCCCAGCCCTGTCCCAGCCAGGAACAATGGACTAGACCACGCCAGCTCCCAGGGCCTCACATGTGACTATTTTCAGACCTTTAAGTCAGAAAAGGATTTTTCACTCCCAGCACAATGGCTGCCCTACACCATTGTCCAGCAGTGACCAGGGCATCTGCCTGCCCAAAAATATCTCCCATGCATCTACCCTCTGGGCCTCCCTGCCCTGCTCCTCACCTTTCAAACTTGACATCACTTCCTGGGGTTGTTACTCCTAAACACCACTGCGAAACAGCATGTGAGTCCCCTGGGAGACATGACCAATTATAATCAATTTTTCCTCTTGACAGGGACCCCCAGGGATTATTTGGCTGCATGGAGGGACTGGAGACCCAGAGAGGGCTGTGCCTTGCCTGAGGCCAAGCAGTGGTCAGTGCGGAGACTAAACTTGAGATTGCCCCATTTCAAGGGAGAAGGGCACCCCAAGGACAGGGAGCAGGGTCCTGCCAGCACTGGGGGAGAGGAGGAGGGAGCAGTAAATTCAGTAGGCGACTGGA